CATTAAATGCATACGATCATACAATACATACAATACGTACAATGCATACAATACATGTAATAATTCGCAGCCCTACTACCGCATTATGTACAAAGACACGTTTACTGAACTTAGGACGAAATTAGAATCCCGCATCTCCTCTCTTCCTTCGTTCGTTGTTGCTATTGCTACTTTGTTCGTTCGACACTGGAGTCGAACTTCCAAGTTTCGCAGTCAGTGTGGCGAATCGGCATTTAGAAACGAGTAGTCTAACGCTACCCCCAACGACACAGTGGGGTTCCGCGGAACCACTGAGTCGAATTACCAAGGACGCTAGACGACAAGAATCTCACCTCGCCCTTTCGGACGTGGCTGCAGTTCCCCGATTCGGCACACTGGCTACTAAACTTGGAGACCCGACTCTAGTGCAACGAACAAAGTAACAATAGCAAAAACGAACAAAAGGAGAGAGGAGATGGGGGATTCCTAATTTCGTCCCAAGTTCAATAAACGTGTTTTTGTACAGAATGCGTTCACAATGAATTTACAGAGATTAACTAAAACTAAACGCACGCAACTTAAGTCTGAGACGCACGCAACTTAAAGTTAAGACTCACGCATTCCACGATGTCCTCGGTGCTCCGCTGGGCCGATGTGCACACGACGGAAATTCACTTGGTAATTAATATCCGTACTACTCAAGGTTATATTATATTTCGGTCGTCAGTGATCAGGTACTGTTGACACCTTTTTTTTCAAACTTCTAAAATTTTATCTTTGTGTATACGTCGAAAGTTTATTTGATAATGATCTCTAAGCCGTTCGAGGTTAATCTAATGTTGATAACTTTTTTTTCAAACTTCTAAAACACGGCGAAAATTTAATTGATAATGAATCTCCGTATCTCGCAAGGTTAATCTAATGTTTCGGTCGTCAGTGATCCGGAACAGTTTGTAAAAGTATGAACGTGAAAGTATGTTGGATTTTGTTTGTTGAAGAAAGGATCGTTTGGGATATCGATTTCTAAATGATATTTAAAGATCGTTGAAATCAATGAAAATATGGTTGATCTGCAAGTTCATCGGCAATCAGAATGGAGGAAAATACGAACGAGCAATGTTTTAAACTCATAAAATCTTAATACTGACATATATAATTAAGTCACTCATACTTCATATCGTTTTCATTATTTATAACAATAAATGATTTCGGCCGTCGCAAATGCAACTTAGTGTGTTCTTAATAAATAACATCGACTGTGAAAAATAAAATATATATGGTATCGTTTAAAAAAATAAATTTCGAAATTTCTATACGGATGAATTTTGCAGGAAATAATTTGCAACTCATAATGTGCTTCTTTATTGCAAATAATATTTGCAGAAATATTTTATTGATAAGTTAAAATTTTCATAAAACAGAGTTTTTTATGAGATAAAGATAATTCACTCAGGTTGTGAATTTACACATTTGTAAATAAAGAAACGTCATAGTTAATTATGTTGTTCATGAAATTATTAAATTTCAATTAATCTTTTCTAATACTTTTAAATAGGTATTAATAGTCAAATATGTATTAAATTTTTCATCCCAGTTTCCATTAGTCGCTATTTATATTCCCTCATTGATGAAGTACCATTCAATTCAATAAATAATTCTCGAAATAGATCTGGCAACACTATTCATATTTTTTTAATTCTAATTTTCGCCATTAGTGGTGCTGCGGTCGCAAAATCGGTAAGACAGGATGTGACACGAAAATGGTATGGTTTTGA